AATTTATTTATTTGTTTCTTATTTATTTATTTATTTTTATTTATTTATTTATTTATTTTATTCCTCATTCCGCCAAACATGCAAGTTGCCTGTTCGATGCCGTATCCTTTGGTCAATTTTTGTGGTTCTCCCACCATGAAAGGACGTTGCGTACATTGCTTCATCAGCTTCATACTTCGCCTGTTTCGAAAATATTTTCCGCCAAACACCATTTTGTCATCACGGAAATGAAGCAGTCCTTGAACAATGTGGGAGACCAGACTTTGAATATCCACACGGTCGTTTCAGGCGTGCGGGTGTAATGAACATGATTAGTGCTCTATTCGTCGCCCTATTTATTATTCTCGTGTAATAATATTCTAGATTCTGTCATTTGGAATACATCGGTGCTACTTGTTTTGCTGTGCTACATTCTGGATTTCTAGTTCGTGTGATTATACCGATATACGTGCAAATTTATTTCTCACATCCCCCACCTAGATGAGATCAGGAATAATTGTCCAAGCGCCATCTGAGACCTTTCAACCAGTGTCATGTTTCTTTGCATTCAAGTTCTGACATTTCTCCCGTCCCATTACTCTATGCAACTCCAACCTTATTTCCACAACTCCTGGTCCGAATTATGTTCTACCAAATTGGTTCCGTGAATGTGCCTCAGAGTATACTCCAAAAACCCTCAACTTCTACATTTGTTAACCTCTTTCAATGAGATGAGTACGTGCCATATGCGTGGCCATTTGTCCTGGGCCGCATTGATGTCCCTGAGGATGTCTTCAGGACACTCTTTGGCACGTTGCTTTGAACGTCAAGACATAAGTGCACCTTCATCCTGACTTGGTGGATCAAGAGCTGCGGTACAAGCCGCCAAATTCTCACGTTTTGCACCGTGTGGTCATTGTAATTATTCACCAATCTTCTGTTCAGTCGCTCCAATTTTTTCCTGCATTTTGTCAATGAATGTCTGCGTTTCTGGTCAGAGGTGACACAACCGTGAACAACTCTTATTCCACGACGACGAATTTACTTTCCCATCATCGATTTTATAGTCCAGTGGCTACAAAGTTTGTTAGCGTCGGTAGACATTCAGCGAGACCGCAACAAATGGTTTAACCTAGAATAATTCGCTCGCCTGCGTGAATGTCAACTCCCAGTAATTTTTGCACAATACGACATAACTGGGGGCGTTCATGTGTAATCAAAATAAGAAATATAAATCAATCATTCAGATGCGTAACGTTCCAACCAAAGAATTTGCGAGGGTTGAGATACTGCCGAACTCTACGCAAAAGCAGCCGGAGTGCGTGAGCTGGTCGTTTCAAGAATAGTTGTGCAGATTTTATTGTGTATCATCCATGCGGTTAATGGGCCTGTTTTGTCGCCTAGCGTTTTATTGGTCAGTTCCTAAGCAGGTATTTTTCCTTCCCTCTCCACTGTGCTGATTTCTGTGCAGTGCTTCTCATCTGGTTTATCCAAATTGTTTCCTATGGAGTAACCAGATAGGGATTCTGCACAAGATACATGAGGATTGTAGTCGATGCAATCCCGTCCATCGCGCATGAACATCGACTGGTTGATGAATATGATACAAAAAAATCAGGCTGTCAATGTGGTAAGAGAACAAACGCCCAAAACAGACAATTCCAAAAAAAGGAATTACAAATCTGACTGTTAGACAAAATAACGCCTTCCCAAAGACTCTATCTAAATATCCGATGAAGTTTCAAATGGCTGTATGAGAACATATTCAAAGTCGATGTGGCTAAGTTAGGTGAAGCGTCTCTAGAACGGTTTTAGTGACCACGAGAAATACTGACATTTGGGCAGTGTGTTTGAGTCGACGGACGACACAAAGCTATTCTACCTGTGTCGGCCGACTGGCCTAATTTTGTTCGTCCTGTGCATCAATCATGTATTTGTACGTCAGATATGTGGAGGCGTCGTGATGAGTCCACACGACCTGTGAATCACGACGGTTTTACCTAAATACTTTTGGTTTTTACCGAACGATCCCTGGACGGCTAGGTTGACAGATGGCAATTCATTTTATTTTGGAAAATGCACACAACACGCTGTGTGCCCGTTAGGAACAGACGTTATGGACAGACTGAACATGGATTTCCAAACTGTACCCAGCTTCGCACAGCTCCATTAGATGTGTTGTGTGGCGGGCTGCCTCAGAGACCTGAAGACAGAGAGAGAGCGGCACTTCAGCTAGGAAATAAGTTCAGGCATGCAAACGAAGTATTTAGTACGCACACCGCGGATCGAGGATCACGCATATCCAACACAGGTTGGGACCAAACAATAGCAAAGATTTCAATGGAACGGGAGTACGTGTTCACACAAGGTTCACCTTAAAGTGCACCAACCGACTTCAGCATTCCCGACAAAATGTGCCAAATATGCTCCATAGTGGTGGGGCACACTGATGGTCAACCGGGGCGCTGACATTGGAAGAATGAACTCATGTGAGGTGTTGCAGAGTATCAACATATTTGAATTTCGGATATTTCGAAGCGTCGTGATGTAAATTCCTTCACTGCCAGCGGAGAACACGCGATTTTTAGCTAGTAGCAGATGAATTAAACCCTGTGAACTCTACGAAACAAAATACAACCCCCATTTCTGGGCTCATCAAGTAGACGCATTTCGAATTGGACAGATTTTGACAAATGCTCCAGCTTGCACACAAATTTGGTTTTGATAGGGGACACACGTGAACCACCAATGATGGTTTCCTTCAAATAAATGATCATCTAGAACACAAGGCTGATGGGATCTCAGGAAGTGCGCCTACCTGTGAGCCCCAAGGAAAGCGAAGCTGGTCGTGAGCTGTTCAGAAAATTCAGGAGTCTTTTCAGTACTCCTATTTGTGCTACTAATCCCGCTGTGGTGATAATGAAGTATTTGAACCAACGACGAACGTCCATGATAAGATAGGACTCTGGTTACAACAGCTGTCCACCGTGAATGTGGATTTGATGAGCCCCTAGAAGAGCGAAACTAGTCGTCAGCTGTATACAATTACCAGCGGGCCTTCCAATATTCCTATTTGTTTACTGATTCAGCTGTGTTGATAATGAAGTATTTGAAAGGATGACGAGCGCCCACAACAACAAAGAATTCTGGTTGCAACGGCTGTTGGTCGTGAAGGTGGCGGAAGAGAAACTGGTCGGGACTGTTTTAGGAATTTTAAAATCAGTCAGGCAATATAGTTTGTTCATAATCCACCGAGGTTATATAAGTTAGTCATCCACACGCGGAAGTGTCTGGGCTATTTTCGGTTAACCACACCTCGCCATTAGATCAAATCATATGTCAGATGGACGAATAGAATGCCTGTGCTTTTCATTGAACCACCTCTGTACAGAATGGTTTTGCGTGTTCCAAAAATGCCTTCACTAATGAAGGACTACGCTAGATTCTCTTATGTTTCCACTTGCCGTTGTGTGACAAAAGTGGTAATTTTTTTCGTTGAGGTGTAATATTTAAGCCAGGCATATTTTGAAATCCAAGGATTCTCCGGGAAGTAATCAACTGAGAATAAACTGTTTACGCCGACCGAACAGCCACGAACAGAACACGTGTCTCGACGACGATTAGTCATGCCATTTAGGCGATCGATTACTCAGAATAGAGAGTGTGGAGATCAACTGACCAAAAGCACGTTCCATTGAAAAAAAACTTGGAAGTTTGAAAAAGCAAATCTTACACCCCACAACAAAAGCTCTATAATTGGAGAGAACCGACAATGCTGTGGTGCTGTTACTAAAGATATTGGACGATTTTTTGGGAGAAACAACGGTATGGTGTGCCTTTCGGCTAGATGTAAGTTTGATGAACTGTGTTTCTGCGTGTGTCCTTGATCAATTCTAAATGTTGAAATTATTTGCAGTATTTCGTATCTACGAAAATGGTGTAGAAGAGCTCAGTACGGTAGTCCAGATGGTCAAACTCTAGTGAGTCCCAAGGCACAAAAGCAGGTTATCCGCCTTCTTTCAAGCAAACTACTTGCGGGTAGAATCAAACGAGTTTTTGTAAAAAAGGGGCTGGTCTCTTCTCTCAAAAAAGCCTCATTTATACCACCGTATACAGAATCACCAGAGTTATCAAAACACTGAAAACACGATACACACTCAAATGAAAACAGAGATATTAATGTGAAATCACCCGGGTTCATTAATCATGAGTATCATCTTGGGATTGTATTTCCACTGTTTTACCGCGCCGATTGTTCCAGCTCTCTGTCGGTCGGCCAACTAAACTGAACTGAAATGAAATGAACTAAATTAAACTGAACTGAATTGACCTCAGGCAGCTTCATCCAGCTGCTGTCAATCATGGTATATCCATGTGCTTACTCCATAACTCTTCGGATTGTTTACAATTCCGATTTATCTACATCAATTTCCACCCTTCATCAGTAGCCCTAGTGAGTGCGGTTTATGGCGGAAAACAGCCTACAACATGTTCGACTAATGAACACCATGTTGCGCCATTAACCTCCAATTTCAGGAAAAGACCGTAGGTGCTAGTTATGTGGGTTTTACAGGTCCCCCGAAATTTAATTATCTTAGCGTTTAACTCAGAGTAATTTTGCGACTGAGGCTCCCCTTAGGTGACGACGTGGGTGAAAGCATTGGCTAGAAGTGTATGTATATTTTTGCACGCCTTATTTCGGTGCACTACGAGGTCTACTTGCCTTCTGAACTGTAAAGCAGTGCGTCCGGAATTGGTCGAATACTGCTTTGAAACACATGAGATTTTCCCTCGTGGACAAGTTCTTTACCGTTGGTTTATGGTGGGTTATCACATCCACCACGATGTCACGGAACGTGATTTTGACGATGTGGCCAAGCTGAAATAACCGTGGAGAATGTTTGTGAGTGATTATGGAAAGAATAAATAACATTCCTCCTGCATCAAAACGAAGCACGTTGGATTTTTGGGTGGCTTCAAGAAACGGCCGATGAAATATTGGACTGATGACGTTTACCCCTTCCCATGGATACTCGATAACTATTCCCCACCACACAAATAGATTCCTATATAAATGTTTTTAACGTGCACTCTGACCATTTGCTGGGATAAACCAGATAGGAAACATAAAAATGCAAACCTGAAGCGCGCGGTGCAGCCTTCGCCAAGCGGTTTCATCTTCTTCCCCAGTTGCGCCCTCCATCAAGCGTCGAGACTTTGAAAACAAATGCGCCAGGCAAGAGGGGTTTCTATCTGCAGTATTCGACTGGAGTCAAGAAAGCATTTCAGCAACACTTATTGCTAACAGGAGCTCTGTCAATGCTGACTGGCAGACTTGACTTCGTAGGCTACGTACTATTGGAAAGAAACGACATAGAATCACTCGGTTGCCAGGGTAAACAAAAAATTACTGACGAAATTCATTCTTCTATACACCAGTTTGGAGTACGCAGAACATCGCTAATATTTCAAAGGATTACTCTGCATATAAGAAACGGGCATTGATTCTCACGTGTAGTTTTATGCCCTTGGAAACATCCAACTAAACTCGTTGGTGATACGACAACCCCGTTAAATAATTAAGTAGCACCTTGGTTTTCGAAGGGGATAATTTCTGTGCACTTTTCATGGTCAGTTGTAAACACTATGTTCCTACGGAGTGCGTTACATGAAATGGACGAATAATTGCAATCAATAAAACATCAGTAAGTTGGACTGAGAGGTTTTTGACATCAGCGCGATTATCACTGATCATGCTACAGGCAATCATCAGACACTCGATGATTTTGATCTATGGTTTGCCCGTTCGGCTGTGTTTAAGTGGATTGGCCACTATTCATCTAAATGCGTGCCTATCTATGTATTCGCGTCTATCAATCTATCTATTCGTCGGTCTGTTCGTCAGCTAGACTCTTTGATTCACTGTTTATCTATCTACCTACCTACCAAACTACCTACTTATCTATCAATATATCTATCTATCTACCTATTTACCTACCAATATACCTATCTATCTATCTATCTATCTATCTATCTATCTATCTATCTATCTATCTATCTATCTATCTATCTATCTATCTATCTATCTATCTATCTATCTATCTATCTATCTATCTATCTATCTATCTATCTATCTATCTATCTATCTATCTATCTATCTATCTATCTATCTATCTATCTATCTATCTATCTATCTATCTATCTATCTATCTATCTATCTATCTATCTATCTATCTATCTATCTATCTATCTATCTATCTATCTATCTATCTATCTATCTATCTATCTATCTATCTATCTATCTATCTATCTATCTATCTATCTATCTATCTATCTATCTATCTATCTATCTATCTATCTATCTATCTATCTATCTATCTATCTATCTATCTATCTATCTATCTATCTATCTATCTATCTATCTATCTATCTATCTATCTATCTATCTATCTATCTATCTATCTATCTATCTATCTATCTATCTATCTATCTATCTATCTATCTATCTATCTATCTATCTATCTATCTATCTATCTATCTATCTATCTATCTATCTATCTATCTATCTATCTATCTATCTATCTATCTATCTATCTATCTATCTATCTATCTATCTATCTATCTATCTATCTATCTATCTATCTATCTATCTATCTATCTATCTATCTATCTATCTATCTATCTATCTATCTATCTATCTATCTATCTATCTATCTATCTATCTATCTATCTATCTATCTATCTATCTATCTATCTATCTATCTATCTATCTATCTATCTATCTATCTATCTATCTATCTATCTATCTATCTATCTATCTATCTATCTATCTATCTATCTATCTATCTATCTATCTATCTATCTATCTATCTATCTATCTATCTATCTATCTATCTATCTATCTATCTATCTATCTATCTATCTATCTATCTATCTATCTATCTATCTATCTATCTATCTATCTATCTATCTATCTATCTATCTATCTATCTATCTATCTATCTATCTATCTATCTATCTATCTATCTATCTATCTATCTATCTATCTATCTATCTATCTATCTATCTATCTATCTATCTATCTATCTATCTATCTATCTATCTATCTATCTATCTATCTATCTATCTATCTATCTATCTATCTATCTATCTATCTATCTATCTATCTATCTATCTATCTATCTATCTATCTATCTATCTATCTATCTATCTATCTATCTATCTATCTATCTATCTATCTATCTATCTATCTATCTATCTATCTATCTATCTATCTATCTATCTATCTATCTATCTATCTATCTATCTATCTATCTATCTATCTATCTATCTATCTATCTATCTATCTATCTATCTATCTATCTATCTATCTATCTATCTATCTATCTATCTATCTATCTATCTATCTATCTATCTATCTATCTATCTATCTATCTATCTATCTATCTATCTATCTATCTATCTATCTATCTATCTATCTATCTATCTATCTATCTATCTATCTATCTATCTATCTATCTATCTATCTATCTATCTATCTATCTATCTATCTATCTATCTATCTATCTATCTATCTATCTATCTATCTATCTATCTATCTATCTATCTATCTATCTATCTATCTATCTATCTATCTATCTATCTATCTATCTATCTATCTATCTATCTATCTATCTATCTATCTATCTATCTATCTATCTATCTATCTATCTATCTATCTATCTATCTATCTATCTATCTATCTATCTATCTATCTATCTATCTATCTATCTATCTATCTATCTATCTATCTATCTATCTATCTATCTATCTATCTATCTATCTATCTATCTATCTATCTATCTATCTATCTATCTATCTATCTATCTATCTATCTATCTATCTATCTATCTATCTATCTATCTATCTATCTATCTATCTATCTATCTATCTATCTATCTATCTATCTATCTATCTATCTATCTATCTAGGACGAATAATTGCAATCAATAAAACATCAGTAAGTTGGACTGAGAGGTTTTTGACATCAGCGCGATTATCACTGATCATGCTACAGGCAATCATCAGACACTCGATGATTTTGATCTATGGTTTGCCCGTTCGGCTGTGTTTAAGTGGATTGGCCACTATTCATCTAAATGCGTGCCTATCTATGTATTCGCGTCTATCAATCTATCTATTCGTCGGTCTGTTCGTCAGCTAGACTCTTTGATTCACTGTTTATCTATCTACCTACCTACCAAACTACCTACTTATCTATCAATATATCTATCTATCTACCTATTTACCTACCAATATACCTATCTATCTATCTATCTATCTATCTATCTATCTATCTATCTATCTATCTATCTATCTATCTATCTATCTATCTATCTATCTATCTATCTATCTATCTATCTATCTATCTATCTATCTATCTATCTATCTATCTATCTATCTATCTATCTATCTATCTATCTATCTATCTATCTATCTATCTATCTATCTATCTATCTATCTATCTATCTATCTATCTATCTATCTATCTATCTATCTATCTATCTATCTATCTATCTATCTATCTATCTATCTATCTATCTATCTATCTATCTATCTATCTATCTATCTACGTATCTATCCGTCCACTTATTTAGCAGTCTACCAATCCATCTATCACTCTATCTATCTAGCTATTTGGTGCAAATCACATGGATTGTTTGTCGGATTAACTCCCTTGATCTCAGTAACTCTTGTTCATATCAAATATATTTATTTGAGTTTATTTTGTCAGTTCTTAATTAGCAGTGCTCGTGGATATTAACTGGGTTGTTTGGCGTTTCTGCCAACTAAGTGACCACCTGTTAGACTGTCATTGGAACGTGAAGTGGCCAGTTGATTCTTTGACATCTAGTGGCGTAAGAAATGACTGTTAAATATAAATATCTCAAAATATGGAATATCGCGCCCAACACATACTTCTATCGGCCCATCATTCCGGTTCATCAGTAGATCATAATGATCTTGGAATTTTCCAACTGGTAGACTTCCCATCGCCTGAAATTAACAATAAACAGACACTTATCAATTCATTGTCAAACAAGATAGGGTCTTATTCCAACCAATGAAGAAGCGGCTCACCATGAAACCGTAACTTTCACACCTTAGTACTCACGTGTTAGTGTTGATAGATCTGGTTGATCAATGAACCTCAGTTTCGAAACCCGTTTGAAAAACATCAGTGTATAGCTCTGATGTCCACATCAGTAGTAGTATCACCTAAGTTTGCTCGTTCAAGTCCATGACAAAATTCAATACTACATTGGCTAAATTTCTCCGTATCCTACCGGGTGCAATGTCCGATGTTTTGACGTATATAGTGAATGTGCGCTTTGTCGTGCATATGTCTGAATCAATTAACGTAGCTAGCTGGTTCGCTGATGGCGTTGTCGCAATTATGGTTCAAACTTGAATCAAACCACGACGAGTATGTGAAGTCGCTAATATCGATCGTTTATATCCATAGCACACTTCCGCTTTGTGCCGCCTAGCAGTGCCTTCTCATTTGAATGGATATTTTGCCTTCTCATGAATCCAATCTGTGATGAAAAACCAAGGAACACTGAATGGCTGTTTCCTCTCCATTGGATGCAGGAGGGCGCATCTCATTTCAGTAGGGAATTATTATTCGGCAGTCATCCGTTCAGCCACAAGTGACTGATCTGCAATGTGATTGGCTTTCACCTAACCAGCGCGCAGCGTCACTTTGCCATTGCTTGCTTATCCGAGAAAGGACACTGGCTAGGCTTGGGTACCTAGATGCCTGGACAAGCTAGCTTTCTGAACTCCGTCTATGAAACCTGAATTTCCTAATCAAATATTTTCTTTCATGGGCGTAACCACCTACCTGTTTTCATAACAGTTTGACTTTTCACATGTGACCCGACCGAGCCTCTCCGTGGCATTTTTCGACTTACCATTTCACCGTATTTCATCACGTGACTCATCGATGTCCTCTTTTTCACCTCTTGGTACTGTTGTTCCAGGGTAAGCTTTTTCACGTCACTCTGTGCGCGGGTACAATATAATGACAGAGGGTCTATGTGAAGCAGAAAGATCAGCTTACACAACTTTAAAAGGGATCCAAGTAGGCAAAACTGTTTAACTATCACCAGAGTAGATACAACCGAGATATGGAACGAGGCATGGTAAATTAGTTAGCACTCCGCTTTTGCAGGACACCGTGCGCGTACAACACATGTTAATGATTTGATGCTCTAAGGTCATCATCTTCGTCATCACCATTATCATCATCATAATCAAGAGCAAGAGCAGTGATGCTTCACTGCCGTGCAAGAATTTCAATACGTTTGTAATGGAAAAACGAAGGATAATGGAACAGGAAGGAAAACCTAGGGCTAGCTTACAGCATACACGTGAGTTATCCACACCTTCGATACCCAGTCGGACATTCTGGATGTAAACTGACAGCACGCACGTCATTGAAATGTTGCTTCATTTCGACAGATGTATTGAGACGAAGGCGTTCAGGAGATCCACAAGCATCATCATCGTCGTGATGATCATCATCGTCAACATCCGTGTTCAACACTCATGATTCTTTGCGCGTATTCAACATTCATTTGAAGCCCTATTCAATAGGAAAGAATCAAAATGGATGGGGAACGGACATGGTGATGTCCCACCACAATCAGCCGAGGTGCCTGCCGCTCAAGACAATTACTGAGGCGATCTGAATCGCAAACAATAACAATAACTGCAATATCATCGATTCCAGAACATGATTTGCAGCCTCTTTAACCAGTCACGTCGAGGATCAGGCAGTCTTCATCGTAGAGGACGAATTAAGAGCAGCCAGACTTTTGATATTCTCTTTAACGCCCCTATGCAAGATCAGTGGAGAACCTGATTTTGATGATAGTGAGAAATTTGAAACATTCAACTAATGGCTTAATTATTCAGGAGAGAGGCGAGAGGCGTGTCTGCGACACATATGCATAAAACTCACGAATTCCGAATGTGTAATCCAGGCATACGAGTATTCGTTCGCCAGACAAACATCGATTCACTTGTCATAACAAAAAAGAGAACAGGGTGATTCATCTTCCTTGGCTGAAGTTGTCGGGACTGTAGGTTTAGAGAGTTCAGACAACAGAACGAATAGTTCAGTATCAAAATGTGTGAAATAGTCAGGTAAAATATCGACGAATGGATCCTGTGACTCACAGAAATAATGAAGCTGCAGGCAGTCTAGAACTGACACATTAGTCAGAAGGTCGCCAAAATTTCATTGACAGAACGCAGTTCTTGACTTTCCCGAAAACCTAATCAATCCTTGAATCCAGACTGGGCGGGACTTGCCAAACACTCTCATAAACGAGACATTTATCTGGATTGGGCTGGGTCAGCCCGTCAATATCAAATCAGTATGTTAATGTATAATCTGTTATTTCTTATGGAAGACCCCCTCAGAGGAGACTGCAGACAAGAACGGTCAAAGGGAGACACGTCAGAAGCCTTGGGCCTGTTCTTCGTGGGTTGAAGTGTACTTATCATGGAAGACTTACGATCCATTTATAATTTACAAAGAAGGCAACCACCGAGCAATTGGCTTGCTGCAGTAGGACACCGGAATTTCACAGGTTTTGTACGGAATATACAATAATTTCATCTACCCGCATGAAACTACTTAAGCAGCTATTGCGACATAATCGATGAAATCTGAATTTTGTTGTATCCCCGGCTAAATGCCTCTTGCGTAGATTAAGGGGATATTTATGTTCGAGGCTCCAGAAGAGAAGTAGAATGAACTAAGATTGGAAATTCTTTCTGTTACTGGTCAGCGCGGCTTTTAAAACATATATTGATTGACATTATGAATGCTATTTCACAGGTTCCATGCAAGAATCCGCCAGAAATTTACGCTACTTACTTCCCATATTTGAAGCAAGAACATCGCGAAACATAGAGCCAGAGAAGCAAGCATCCACGTAAAACACCAATTTGTTGTACATTCTTTCCGAATGCCTGTAGACGAGGGTATCGTTCAACTCCATAGCATACAGCTGTTACGAGACATAGAGAAAAATTGTCGTGAGCTACAGATAGCACAGGGATTAAAGCAATGTAACTTTTAGTGTTGGTCATTTATACTGTTGACAGTTATAAACACCCACCTTGAAAATAGCACGGAAGGACCAATATTAGAGTCAAAAAATCGGAATAATAAAGGCTGGTCTGAATGACTAATTTTCAGAAAACTTCAACTGCTTATTTCAGGGCCGTTTTTAACCACATGTCGCACTTCCCTATCTGGGGAGAGTACTTCAGCCGTAATAACGTTTCATGAAATTTAGAGAGATTTCGATTGATTTGAACACTTCGAAATGTTATCTTACTACCAGCAGACTGTAAATAACTGAGAATTTCAGTAATTCACACGACAAACGGATTTTTCATTGAAGAAGTTGTCACCAGTGATGTGGATGCCTTGACTGAAGAATGAGTGCGGATAAATCAGGCTGTTGGTTGGTCGCACGTGGCCGATCGGTTAAACGTCGCAACAACCAAGTGCACCACTGATAATTTACAATAAGGATGAAGCTGTTGTACATTGCTTCTCGGCTTTTCATCACAAACTGGTTTCTCGTACAGAAAAACGGAAACCCCTTCATACTACCAAAGATTCGCGCTGTCTCTAATTCAGCTGATGCCTTCTTCGTATCATCTATGCATCACGAGTGACCGAATATGACCAGCTTCCTTGTTTATTGTATCCACGTTTGCTCAGCAGTCAGAATCGATCGACCGCGAAATCATGTGAGTTGAGCTACCCGAAACGCAGTGATACGTTACCATTTAAAGCACATTGACGAGACATATCAAACATAATCCTGGGGATATCACTCTTTAGAATGACGTGCGAACATCGTAGCTTGTGTTCCTTATTCGGTTGATGTGTAGGCCAGCTTGACTATAAACTCTGTTTTATAAAGAATTTCGGAATTCAATGAGCCAATATGCGTTTACCTAAGCCTTTACGAGCCGTTCGCAATTTAGCTTCCTATTAGAAAACTGTGTGCTATATATGTGAGTACCAAAGTCAACTAAACTTACATCTGCGTCTGGTAATGTGACAAAGGTGTTCCCACCGTGGCCAGAGTAGAAAATGAATACGTTGTCATAATGACCGCTGTAAGTAGGCAGAAAGGTTAAAGTGGACTTGAAGAGGAGCTTATTGGGTGGCGCTTCCACGCATAGTATACCACAAAAATCCCGCGAAAACGGAAGCATAACAAACACCTTGATCTTAATATTGTTTTGTACAATCTACTGGATATAATCAGTAGCTTAAATAACTTCAACCGGTCTGTTTTTTTGCATGACCATAAAAATATGAGAATGAAAAATCTATTCTTTGAACTTTTGTTAATTTTTATATCACGGGATATAGTAGCTCCTATGGCTCTCAATGAATGAAGTTGGTCTGAAGCAGTTTTCCACTTTAGATTTTTTATATCATCCGGCGGGTAGAGCGGTCACACGTAACATTCTGGAATCAAGCTCCTGGTATCACAATCAGAGCTGTTTATGGAAATATCTGCATAATGTACATTACTGAGAAGAAGCCTTATAACCAAGGTGAGGCGAACCTAAACAGATGAGAGATTTACGATTTTAAATTGAATGGACTTTTGCCTAGTTTTCTGGCTTGCATCCGTATGCCGACGCTATCTGTCTCTTTATGTGCAGGTCAAGAAGGCGTGGAGAGAATTTCGAAAGAACCACTTTGACATGACCAACCCACACAGTGCCTAAGTCGAAACGGGCATTGTAAAAGCTGAGCGTATTGTCGGTGAATGGTCATACAGGTTTGTGGGACTGCCCAAAAAAGGGCCGCCAGTGGACTTGGATGTAGATTATACAATCATCAGTGTTGATTTGCCTTGTTCAGCACCGTGAGAGAAAACAAATTTTGAATCTGAGTTAGCCAACATCGACCGACGCAAAATTGTACAAGTCCAGGCAGATATTTGAGCACTCACAACTGCGCATATCTGAATATTTCCGAAACGTTTTCATAGTGGCGATTGATGTTTATGATGCAATAGAAACCCCTAGTCTGAAATTGTTAAACGGGTTTCCAATGCAGTGAAGTAAATCGTTTTTCTGACTTCTGGGGGCTTTACTTAAAGAGGTTATGTACCACATTATTTACGGAGATATTAACCATCAACTTCATAAATCCCAAAACGCTGACCCTTTACACTAGAATCTTAGTTGTGATCAGCAAATGCTTCAGCAAATTCCACTTTCGCGCAAACTCACCTTTTCAGCACCTTCTTCTTGTTGGCTTCAAGTTTGTTATCGCCTTTTAATACCTTCAAGAAATTATTCTTTGTGACATCCTAAAACAGATGAACATGCATGAGAAATTATTCCTGTGACAACGGTGTTCTCCACAATCATTCCATTCACAGTACCCATCCCTTTGCCACCTCGTTAATAATTCTCATTTATAATCTGGTCTTCATCTGCACTCATATTAATTTTGCGATGGCCGCTGTGTCCTGAAAACTGAAGAAGTCTACCTTTGATCTGTTTCCTTTTAAATTCGCTCATCAAGCAATTGCGCTGAACATGGATTAACTTAAAGGACGATCAAGTAGCCTTCGTTTATCTCAGTAGCTAAAGAATGAAACACACGTGAGAGCACCACTCATTGGTACTCAAGTGAATCGGTAAAACGTGTAATTTATGATATACTTTAACGAAGTTTGCTGTCCAGGACAAGGAGCTTGGTTTGGTAGGTTTATCACTCTGCATATCACAGGATATTTCCTCGTAGCAATTTTCGTGGTTCTCTTCACAAGTACGCTAGCCTACTACGTAAACCGATAGCAAAAGTTTGAACTCGGTCACGGGCTACTTGAGAGTTCTTCATGATCTTATGACTAGTCTTCGTTCAAGTAAATTTACTGTTCTGTAGCATAGTAAAACTGATAAATCTACCCCACTGTTCATATTCTGCTTTGATCCGCAGTGTGTTTTACTTGCATCTTGTGTTACAGGGTGAACTGATGCAGAAATTCATTTGATTGCTGCGCACCGCAACACGGACTTACTTCTCCACGGTAGTCAATTACCACACCCTTGTAGACATAATCGAGCTCGTCGTCCTGGAACACTTTACCCTTGAACGGATTACTGGAATAAAAGAATGAACACTTGTGGTGGGTTTTTGAGAGTAGCTAACATATAGGTCGAAAGGAAAGAAATAAAAGGCTCATTAATTGTTGGATTTGGGTTTCTGGGCCTGTTTTTGAATAAATTTTTCCGACGATGTGTGCATTCATCGTGACAATTTTGACCAAGTGTTAACCAAATTTGCATAACGGAATAATGATGTATAGATCCTACAATGCTTCAGGTAAAGTGCACAACAAAAAAATTACAAATGTTGTGCGAAAATGTAGTTGTTTTATGTAACCTAACATTCAAAAACCACCAGTAGTAGATTTTATGAACATATTCATTATCAGTGCCCTTGAATATGATGCGATTGGGCAGGGAGCGAAATGATTCGAGTAGATGTGGCGCGCATTTACTGACCGGACCGTGGTTCCACCTTACCTCTGCTTCCCGAACACTTCTGTCTAGGCTTGAAAAACTTGGGAATATCCCTGCATTCGTTCAAACGTTTTGTGATATGACAGCTAGGCACTTTTATATGCGAGAGCCGAACGGGCAATTGGGCAGTATACGACTTACGATTAATACAGTCTCTTCGGAAGAAACAAATTTCAATGGTTTTTGGTTTTCTCTCTTCTCATCGGCTGCATTGCAAAATGTTAGGCTTACTGGATTGTCTAATTTTTATTTGCTCCAAATCACCATACGGGTGATGCGGTCATTAATTTCAGACATACTGACAAATCTGACGAGGATATGTCATCATCATCGTCATCATCGCTAACATGATCATCACCAAATGTGCTGATTGCGCCATAGTTCTATGAAAAGTCACCAAATTAGAGAAAACCTAATGTGCCACCTGCAGTGACGCATGAAACCTCATTATTGTATGCATATCTACTTCATCATTTGTACACTTGAGAAATGCGGTACGACAATGACACGTGTTAAAGCCAATCAACGAAACGCGTATTCTACATTCCAGTTGCTATCATATAGCGAAAACATGCACGCGATATTTACTTGGGATTGTTTGCAATATCGTCGTAGGCGAAGGTAATTATATTCTCCGGTGGAACTTTGTTTTTACGCATGACGTGTTACGCGTGGAAAACGTCCGCCTGAATGAGAACACAAATAACAGGAGATTTAATGATACCAGGCAGAACGGGGCACGGAGGCTAGAGAAGGTAAGCAGGATGTGTAGGATAATCCATATTTGGTGGAGTATCATTTATCCCAACAGCAGCTGGATACATTGTCTCAAGAACAAGAAGCAAGTTTCTAGTCTGGAGGAGCTTGAGTGGACCACCGTTCCACACTCAATCAAGTGTCCGAACAACGACCTGCGTACCGGAGCTGTACAGACTTGTTATGCATTGACTTGGAAAACACGTTCAAAGCTGTCGTTCGCTTGTGTACCTGAAAAATAGTCACATTGCGACGAAACCCGGTGGTTAAACCTTAAGAATGGATACAGACAAATTTATTATGTGTAAGTTTTCAATGCCATTCTCATATAACCCCATGAAAATATGGCACGAACGATTCCACGCATTTAACCAGGATGGATTTCAATGTTTATTCCAATTACATGGTACTTGATCTCACCATGTAGTTCATATTTATTTGCCCAAATTACCCTGCAATTCCGGTGCTTTCGCTGTAACAGATAATATCGTTACCACGTTAGTGGTCTTTGTTGGGATTTCTGAGAACTGGTTGAGTCAGCAGGTCGCTCTAGGCCTCGGAGCTGCGGAATCCGGCAGCATTTCTCTAATAGGATGAAGCTAAAATGTCAGGTATGATGATTAGTGGTGGCCTAAAAACCATCGAATTCCTGGAATTCTCTTGCTTTTATATAGCAGGCCACGCAATATATGTTCATCAGTTGCGCCTTCTATCCGTCGCGCTTTCGAGTGAAACACAAGAGTCATGGCATAAAACTAGGTAGAACCGAACTGTTTGGGGCAACACTAGTTCACAATTTTACTTTGAAAACCCATTCCTGCGGGATTCAGATGAAATTTTGACATTCAAAACAATGAAAAACCCACGGGAACCTAGTTGATTTCGATAATCCTCACAAGTATCCGTACCAGCGACCAGGACAACCCAGTTTCTGACGGATTATTGCTGAATATAGATGACC